CTTACTAGTAGTAACAAGAAGCTACTAGTAACAGGTGCCACGCTACTAGTAACAGGTGCCTTACTAGTAGTAACAAGAAGCTACTAGTAACAGGTGCCACGCTAGTAGTAACAAGTGCCTTACTAGTAGTAACAAGAAGCTATTAGAAACAAGTGCATCGCTAGTAGTAACAGGTGCCTTACTAGTAGTAACAAGAAGCTAGTAGTAACAGGTGCCACGCTAGTAGTAACAGGTGCCTTACTAGTAGTAACAAGGTTCGCTACTAGGTGTGGCAGGTGTGGCAGCGAAGCTGAAGGAGCGGGTGACTCGGCACGGTCATGCTCCAGGTGGAGCTGCGACAAACAAGCACGGTTGGCTGTAGATGTGCAGCTTGGTGCTCAGGTCAGTGAAGACTGAAGAGAAGAAGGCAAGCTGAATTTGAGATCAAGTTTGGGCGAGCAGAAGGTCACCACTTGGGAATCAGTGGAAGTGTTTGCTGCATTGGGTATCGGATATCTTCAGAGAAGCTTCTCTACCAAGTTACCATGGCGTCTAGTTATCGGATGCATGGTTTGGGGTTCACATTCCTAGACGCCATATGATGGGACATGCTGCCTGAAACCGGCGGAAAAGGTGACCGTGATGGTATGAACTAGGAGTTTGCAGGGTCCCAGGCCTTCTACTTGTCAGCTGTTGCAGCCGATGGAAGAAGCGCTTGCCAGCGCCAGCGAGGAAGAAGCGCTCGCGAAGCTTCCATCCCTCCGTTTGTTATTGGAGGAAGTCTCTCAGAGAGAATTTGAGATGATCTTGATATATCTTGACCCTTTTTCCTTCACTTTCCTCACTGATTCCTCATGTCTTCGTGCACTGGATACCAGGCACCCCAGATCTGCGTGCAGCTTGCGCCGGGAGCCCGAAACCGTAGGGCGGCCGCTGGGTTCTGCCAAAAAGGCTTCTGCCAAAGAGGGCTGTGTCCAGTGTTTTGCAGGAGAAGAAGATACGGGGTTGTCTTTGTAGGTTTCAGGTTTGTCTCGCAAGAAGCTATAAACCGCTTCCGAAATGAAAAGGACTGTTTGTTGTTCGTGGTCTTTTGTAGCTTGGTATCAGCTTGGTATTTGGTATCTGGAGGAGAGTCTGAGGGCTCCGATTCCGCACAGCCATGGCCCAAGCAGCCATGGCTTTAGCTGAATCCGTGCGCGAAGAGCTGGAGAGGCAGCGCGCTGGAAAGGTGGAGGTGGGAGCGATAGGATGGATCTTTGGGTCTTTGGGTCGACGACAGGTCCGAGCAGAGCGGATATGAAGTGGTGAAATCAATAGAAAAAAAACTCCAAATCCATAGACTTTCTAGGACTTCGTTGTGCTTAACCCCGCTTTGTCTCAAGGAGTTTCGGGTGATTTGATACTAGGAGGCTTACGCTGGTTGATACCCAAAAATGCATTGAATGTGTTGTCTTCACAATGGTTTGGTGTGTTGACATACCCTAGGCCCTAGCCATTTGGTCCCATTGGAGTCTCTAAGTCGGTTTGCTTGGCAGGTTCATGTCAAAGCCATGGGCTCAGCACCGGCACTACGAACGCCGCGGTTCACCATCGCCGGCAGCAGTCGCTTCTCCAAATTGACGACCTATCTCAAGGACCGGCGAAGTAGGCACCGGCGGAGCGTTTCGCGGTTTTGGGGCCCATCCAGGGCCCCTGGTTGTCGTTTTCTCGCGACGCCTTTGGAAGGTTGCGGCCCCGGTGCATTTGAGAGTTTCCCCTTCATAATAGCCTCCGTTTCTTCAGAGGAGTCTTTCCATCAGAAAAAAACATGACAGCGGGAGAGAGGCCTTGCTGGATAGCACAACGCCTTCTCACAGTAGCACTCGTTGCAACCGTTTGGGAAGCTTCCCCACACCTACCCCTTGAGAAGAAGCCTTAAGAAGGGTCAGGTGCACTTCTGCTGCTGCTGCTGCTGCTGCTGCTGCTGGTCCTCCTGCTTCTTCCTCCTCTTCCTCCTCTTCCTCCTCTTCCTCTTCCTCTTCCTCTTCCTTTTCTTCTTCTTCTTCTTCTTCTTCTTCTCCGGGGGAGTTGCCACCAGAGCCTTGTTTGCCTGTTGATTCTATATCTCGCTGCGCTTGCAAGCTTTCTTTGTTCGATCCAATTGTATCCTCCAAACCATGTCCTAGAGTCCTAGAGGCGACAATCTAATCAAGAATACAGGTCGGTCTTTTTCTCCCAAAAGATTAAAAGCCACATCGATAGAAAAAGAATTCTGCATAACGACTTCTACATGGAATTGGCCCACCTCGGTCGCCTCGGTCCGAACTCAAGGACACCTTAAAGCTGGAGACACTCTACGTGTACTGCAACGATGCCTTCGAGCCCTCACCCGATGAGTATTTGGCAGACTTGCGGAATTGCTTTGGAACTGGGAGCAGGTTGAGCATCAGCTATTCGGGTGAACAAGCCTTTAACTGAAGTTCTGGAAAGCAGGAGATGCTTGGAAGGCCGTTGGGGGGGGCCTTCCGTGGAGCAATGAGTCTTTCCTGCATTGCAGGGGGCAAGAAGCGCATGATGTCGGGCTGACTGCGGGCACCGGACAGACAGCCACTCGCGGTTGGCCACGCTAAAGGCTGTGGTGAGTGACCCAGATTGCAGTGCGCGCCCAAAAAGTGCTCACTGCGCCAGACGAGGCTGAGAGTGTTGTGCACCCAACCCGCCATATGACCCGGTGTGGCCTATGTACCGGCTCCTGTCCGTTCGGTCCATTCGTCCGGTCGTCTCTCCTCCCCTCCGGATCCGATGGACCAGAAGACGTCTTCAGCCGAGGTCGGTCCTCTTCCACCAGGGACAAACGGTGATGCAGCTCTTCCAATCGCTGGCCGGCAGCCAGGCGGTCGGGTGTAGGCCGACCGATTGCTCTTCAAGAAGGTCAGAATGATGTGAGTCGTGTTTCTGTATCGGTAGCTCGGTGTCCATCATTGGTACCGAGATGTACCGAGGGACCTCATCTGAGATGTCCAAAGATCCCCTGTTTCCAAAGATCTCCGAGATGTCAAGATTGATATTGTCCAACAAGCCGAAAGAAGGGAGGCTGAAACTCCACGCTTTGGAATAGTCTGGATTTCTTCACGACACCATGCGCCAAAGGGGTCATCCAAATGTTTTGGGTTACATTTCCATCGCAGAGGCACAAAGCACGCCACGAATTGCAGGGCCTGGTGCATTGGAATGACTTCCGAGCATTGTTTGTGCAGCTCGAGTGGTGGCCTTAGACTCACCGGAGTCTGCGGAATGCGGTCACTGCGGTCACTTGGTCCACCGAGGTGGTTGAACATCGTTTGGGTGGGTCAATTGCAACAAAGACCTGGTCGTTCCGTTTGACTTGTTGAACCTTGCTGGCTAGAGAACGTGTTTTCTTGTGTGTGTGTGTGTTCTCTGACTCGAACGTTTGAGGTTGACACATGTTTGACACATGTTTAAAGCGGTTCATCCGAAGATGTCAGTCAAGATGTGCATCTCTAGTTTGGTTTTGGGACACGGTGTGATGATAGAACAAAGGATCACAGGGATTTGGCAAGGATTGGGGCTTTAGCACATGCCCCGAGAATGTTGACCTTGCGAACATGCGGGATATATGATGAATGAACACGAGCCATGCCTTCGGACAGCTATATCATCTCCGCAAGTCGTTGCTGCACCAAACCGACGCTGTGCGGATTCTGAGGCCCTCCTTGTCAGCAAGCGAATTGGAATCTTTGTGGAAGGAATTCGACAAGGATCCCTCAAGTGTGACTTCGCTGTCGTGCATGTATATATGGCAGGTAGGTCATATCCATGTTGTGTTGCAAGAGATACCAAGTATCTCTTCATGAATCCGGCAAGGCGGGTCTGCATGACAAAAACTTTTTAACGCCGGGTGGTGCGTCCTGTTTGTGCTTTTCACGTCCAGGACGGTGATGGCAGCATCACCAAGGAAGAGTTCCTCGGACGGTGGATGGCGGTTTGGTCGACGAGTCGGGGGACATCTCGACGAGTCGTGGGTGCTTTTTGTTTCTGGGGGGGTGGCCTTCTTTTCATGGGCCGACTGAAGAAAACCTAAAGCATCCACATGGGGCCAAGTCGATCCAAATCAGGTTCTTTCATACGGATGGGTTGGCCCAGCCAGAATCTACAATGAGTCGGGGGGCTGAAGCAAGTTGGAAGTGCATATTCAATGGGAGGGCGGAGCTGAAGAACTCGATCGTTTTGAGTTTGATGAAACCAAAACTACCTCCTTGTTGCTAGCAAGGTGTATTTGCGGCCAAGACCTCTTAGAAGCGCTGTAAGCCTTGGTTTTTTCCAAGGCTTCAAATCCAAGCATTGCTAAACTGAAGGTTCTTCGCGGCCATGGAGCCAGCTGTGCGCCTGGTGGTGGCCAAGCAGTCTGAGGTCATTGCACGCCTTGCGCCGGGCAGCCTGAGGGGCGAAGGTGTAGCGACGTGTGGGTCATTGATGTTCTTAAAACCTCTTGAAGCAATGGGTGCTTGCTTGTTGACTTGTTTGGGTGGTTTCTGAGTTCTCCCCCTGAACTGTAGGTGACCTTATTTTTGCAGACCCACAGCCACAAAATTAGAGGGTTGTCACACCTACAGGCTTGGGACGCCAATCGCTGTGTCGGGCAAGCGAGGCTGGCGCTGCAGCGACAAGGCCAAAGTGTGGATCAACTCTTCAATGCTTTGGCGACAGAGCAGGCGGCTCGGGACCTCTAACGGGGAAGCGCCCGCTCCTACTGAATTAAGTCGGCGCCGACTGTACTGAAGTAAGGGAGTAATTCGCTACTAGCAATAGGAAGCTCCCAGCTAGGACGCAGGATAGCTCACGATTCCTTGAAGAAGCGCTCGCGCTAGTGATTTGGTTCCTAGATTTTTAGGGAAACTTCATGTCTTGAGCGCCATGAAATCATTTGTGTGGTGGCTCGGACAGCTGAATCTGTGTCATTTGCGACACGCTATGCGGCTGTGATTAGAACCATGCGTCCTGCATGGTGTTCCAATCCAACAGAAGAACCCACAGCACCACCACTCCGTGGGCCGGCAGAGGGACTTCGCCCTTTGCCAGGGCGTCGTCTCCTGGCCGGACTTCCGATCGCTCTTCCAGCAGTGGGAGCCGAGATCTCAGGGTTTTTGTGGGGCTTTTTTGGGGCTCCAAGCAAAGCCCCTGAAGAACGAGTTGCATCAGGATTTGCGAGGCGGGAGCTTTCTATGAAGAACGCACTCAAAAATGCGGATCTTCATGGCTGTTGGCCTCGGTTGGTTCTTCATGGCCAAGGAGTGGATCTCTGAAAGAACTGAAAACACAAAACCTGACCACCGGGGCCTTCTTTGGTTCCTTCTGAGGCCATCTTTGGGAGAAGAGGATCTTCATGGTCTTTGGCGCAGCTTTGACAAGGAAGCTCCCGATGTGGCAATCTATGGTTGGTCGCTTCCAGATCGAAAACTACTTAGTAGTCAAGTACAAGAAGAATGCAGAGCAAGATAACACCTGGAATCAACTTTGAACTGATGGCTCAAAGCATTTGGGTTCAGGGTCACGGTTATACGGCTGTAGACAATCTAATTAATTGAGTGTCAAAGCTTCGAGAAGCACCAAGCAACTTGCCATGTTATGCCATGTTCATGTCCATATGAGGCCCAGCCAGTAGATGTGGTAACACCCACAGGTCACGCCCGCCCACTCTTTGAGGATGGAGACGGCAGCGTCACGAGAGAAGAGTTTGCAGCTGAGTTTGGAGAGGAAGGGAGAAGAGAGTGGAGAAGAGTTATTTTCATTGCTGGAGACCATGACTATTACGTTGGAGGCCACCGCTCTTAGGTTGCAGGCCAGTGCTATTAGGTTGTAGCCTACAAGAGTCTCAGAGCTGCTTGCTGTTGCTACTTTCAGCTAAGCCTCTCCATGACATATTTGTGGACCAGAAACCCAAATGGTTCTGGCAGAGGCGCCTGTGGTTCACCTTCACGAATGGGTGTAGCCATCATGTTGTCAGACAAGTGATCCTCGTGCCACCTACCAATGGCTACCCAATGATATCTTGGACAAAAGTGGCGATTCGAGAGGGATTTCTCACGTTCCCTTGCTTAATCAGAACAACTCACAGTTTGAAGTCCTGCAGTTGCGCTCAGCTGCTGAACATGCAAACGAATTCTCTGTGAGAGATCTGGAAGAACGAAAGAAAAGGCGGACAACGATAGCATCCCAGCCATTTGCCACGTTTACATCCAGACAACGATGGCATGGCCACATGAGCCTACAACTTCCTGCGAAGCACCGAGGTTCGTGAAGGCTTTGGCACCGTCGATGGAAGCTGCCCAGGCTCATACAGACGAGGTGTGCAAGAGGGTGGCGTCTGGAATCCCAAGGGAAATCTGTGGCTTGAAGCTATCAGGAACAATAAGCTACTAGGAACAAGTGCCTTACTACAGGCAACAAGAAGCTATTAGAAACAATAAATAGAATCTAATTAGAATTAAACCTCAAAGGTTCCAACTAATCAGGAACAATAAGCCACTAGGCTTCGGGCGGTGGGAGCGCAGGAAACATGCTCAAGGTGTGATTGATGTTGTTCAGATGTTTATATATATATATATATGTTCCCTACACTCATCCAATGGCATAAACTTGAGCATTTATTCCTATATTTTTCCCTTCAAGTTCACCATTTGAGGTCGATGCTCTTCCAGAACGGCCGCACCGTGAACCAGCTCTTTGATGCTCTTGCAGCTGGTAAGGACCAGCAACAGGGCCCACCCCAGTTGAGGCACTGTGATATGTTGTTTGATCCTTCTAACATGATGGGGGTCCTGTGCCAAAGCACTATTAATTAAGCTGACCACCATATGTTGATGATGGGGATAAATTCTGAGGTTAGATCTGAGTGGTACAACTTTGCTGCTGACTAAGAGGTTTAAGCGCGTTTGGGCACGGTTGTGGTTCTTGGTCACAGGTCTCACATCATATTCCCAACATTCTGAAGGTGAACCTTTCGCCACTCGACTGAGAACACACCCCAGGAGCAGGTGGCCTTCGATGACTTCCGAAGCCTTTTCCAACAGCTGGAGCACCTTGGCACAGCTCAAGCACACACGTGGGGAGATCATGTCTGCGGTCCATGTCGAATCAACAATGAGCAACCACGGAAAAGAGATCAAAGAACAGAACATGTGTCAATCTTCTTGGTTTTGTTATTGCTATGTCAATACATTGTGAGATACGAGCATTCGCCGGAGCATTGATCCATTTGTGTATGAGGTCGGTTTCAAAAGTTCGCGAGACCCCTCCCAACGTGTTCCACTCCGATGTGCTCAATCCAAACCTTCCCGTGTTCAAGAGCTTGTTTTGTTGCCAAAGGCCATCTTTGAGCTTGCCTGACTTGCAAGCACTCTGGCGATGCTTCGACAAAGCCAGAGCCTCAGCGAACCCATGGTTTGGAGAAGCGACTCTGGAAGACCAGCCCAGCCCTTGTAGAGGGCTTTCCCACCTCTCTCACCTGGCTCTGGAAACAGCCCGGATGGACACTGGTCTTTCACCCCAAAAGCCGTTGGGGAAAAGCGCTTTCTCAGTTAGTTGCCTCGGTGATCGAAAACGTGCGACACAGACATCCACCGAGATCGAGATCGCCCGAGCGCTGAGCCGCCAGAGCGGACGAGCGCCAGACGTACCGAGGATGGTGATGGAGGTGTGACTCGTCAGGAGCCGCTTTGAATGCATTGAACTGGGGGGGGATGTGCTCACGGTTTTGGAGATTCTTGGGGGATCCCCGCCCCAAATTCCAGGGTGTCAAGTGCTGATTCTGACAGTGTCCCAACTAGGCTCTTTAATTGCATGATGAACATTCCAAGCGGAAAGACAGCAAAGAATCACCAAAAAGACGGTGCGGATCCAGAAATGTGTCTTCTCAGATTTCGAGTCTTCTCACATCTTCTCTCACCAGCGAAGCAGGGCCATGCCGACCCTGAGGTTCTTGAAGGCCATGGAGCCGTCCGCGAAGTTGGTGGTCCAGCGGGTCTCAGAAGTTTGCGCTCAAGTGGGGCGTGGAGCCTCAGTCCTTTTTGCCCGCCAATTAAGTAGCTTCTTGTTCCTAGTAGCGTCTTTGTTCCTAGTAGTACGGCCAGGAGCCCCTAGTAGCGTCCTTGCTCCTACTTAATTAAGTAGGTGCCTGCTTAATTCTGTAAGGGCTAAGCAAACTGCTAGCCAACCTGCTACTAGCTAGGTCGCACGACGCTTTAGCTGATGGAGCGCATATCATGGCATATGTCAGTGCCGGGAACGTTGTAAAGTTCCACGTGCCAGGAGGAAGGAGATTTGAAGGTCTGCTGGATGAACAAAGGATAATAACTAAATTGTTTGCTTATCACACGAAGCTCATCAGATTGAAGCGATTGCTTGTTTGGTTGGACATTCCCCTTGGAAAAATTGACTTCGGTAATACTACATTCAAGCGAAACAAGGACACCTGTGGTTTTTCTTGTCCAGGAGATACTGCAATCCATCCTTTGTGGTTGGTTTCCACATCTCCCCGAAGAGGTTCCCTTCGCCGACATCGCTCTGAGGCATCTGCTGCAGCGCGAAGGCACCACCGTTGATCAGCTCTTCGATTCCTTGGCCGACCATCAGGCCGCACCTTTGGGCAACGACTTTGATCTGGGGACGAGTGAATTGTGAATCATGAAAAAGCTGTTTTCCACTGCAGTTTGCTTGGCTTAGAGTTTACTACTCATGTTGGGGGATAGTGTCTTTTTGGAAGAGGTGTGAGTGTCAACTGTCTTTTTGGAGCAGAACCATTCACTATTGCTCACCCAAGCGCTGCAGGTCCTTCACTGGGAAGCCTTTGCTGCCTTCTTCCAAGGCATCTCGTGGCGGACTTAGAAGCAAAGTAAACAATTCAGAATCCTACGTGTCCCTTGCACCAATGCACAACTCCTGCATGTGTTGAACGGAACCAGCATGACAACACAGCCGTGTTGACTGTGAGCACTGCCAAAAACCACTAAGGTCTTCGCTTTCAGAGCAAGATTTGCATGGTCTTTGGCATAGCTTCGACAAGGAGCCAAAAAGACCTTTGAATCCCCAACTACAGAAAGCCTGTGCCACCCACTCTTTAAGGGTGCTTGTGGCTTTCCAGGTGCAGCCCTTCGTCCACCAATGTGTGTTTGGCTATCTCTTGCATGACTGACATGATTCTGCCGACCAAAACGTGACCTCCTCTACCAACTCTTCCAAAACAGCGCTCCTTTTCCTCAATTGTCAGCGATGCAGGATGGTGATGGCACCGTGTCACGAGAAGAGTTCGGGTGCTCATGTGTTGTGAAGATCGCACACATTTGCCAGGAGGACAGGGCGAGGAACTTTCAATACATTATTCAGTTCACCAAACGAAGGAACCTGCACTGGGAAGTAGGTTGATTACTACCCGGGGCTGAGGTTTTTTGTCAAAGAGAGAGAGAGAGAGGAGAAAGTATGATGAGAGGGTCTTGATCCTTGACCACAAGTCCTCGTGTGATCATCATGTCTGTGCCGGCGTCGGTGCTTGCCCTGCATCCTTCTGGGGGTTTCTTACGAAGTGGTCGCCATTCTCACGACAGAAAGGCTAACTTGGAGGTTTGGACCAAGCGTTTCTTCAATGACCAGAAGAACAGGGTAGGTCAGGTAGGTTGATGTCGAAGTGGTTTCCTTTAGATTCTTCCAAAGCCAATGGCAGAAAGCTTTTGAGGTTCGTCAAGGCTTTGGCCCCGTCCATGCCTGCCATTGCATCTTGGCTTGAAAAAGGGCTCATGCCCATCTTCAAATGTCCTAGAGCTGCCTAGTTTTATAAAGGAGTTCATGGCCAAAGCTTGGGCTTTGCGTGTGTGTGTGTGTGTGAGAAAGGTGCTTTCCAAGATGTGGTCATGGAAGCTCGATACACGTCTTAAGTTGGGATACCATCTGAAAGGCACCCTCCAACAGACTAGGAGCAAGGACGCTACTAGCTCCTGGCATCGTTATTAGTGGCAAGAAGCTACTAGTAGCTAAGTGCCTTACTACTAATAACAAGAAGCTACTAGTAACAAAGGGCATTGCTATTAGGAAGTAAGTGGGTACTGAGATGACTCAACGCAGGTGCCCTGCCCCGACACAGCGCTGGCCAACGCCCTGTGGCAGGCCATCGCTGAGGCAGGGTGGCATCGCATGTGACCTGACCAATACCAACCGTTCATGGCGACGTGTCATGAAGACACGTACCTCATCATGGTCCACTCTAGGTCATTGGGGAAATCGACTCATGACCTGAGACGTAGCTGGACAACCTGAGTGGCGGTGGGTCAAAAACCCAGAGCCCTAAGCTTCACGCCCCTAGTCCTAGTCGATCCTAGTGGTCTATTCTGTTCCTTTTTAGTGGTCAAGCAGGGTCCCCCAATTTTGACCCACAACCATGTTTGTTGAAGCCGTGCAGGTGGCAACACTACGCGCTGGCAGTGTGCGCGGGCCTCTGACGGTCAGAGAGACAGAGCCCTGGTCTTTTCAGACAAATACACGAGAGGAGAGAAGAACAAAGACTCGATGGCTTCCAACCTACTAGAGAGAGCCTGAGAGAGATTTGGAAAGCCAAATGATGCTATCTTGGCTTTGGTTGCGTTCAGGGTTTCCGGTTTCCTCAATGCACAACATCTGGACCGAACCATCCATGACAAAGGACCCCGACGGAAGAAATAGACCAACTGACAAATCTCAAATGGTTGTTTTTTAGGCTGGAGGCGACCGTCGGTGTTCAGCCGGTTTTCCAAAGCACCAGGAACAGTTCAGACCGCTCAGTGGAGGCGACCGCTACTAGGTTGGAGGCCATTGCTACTAGTAGCAAGAACGCTACTAGGTTGGAGGCCATACTTTGAAACGAAAGTGCCCGTTGCACTCCCAAGGGCATCGGAACCCGAAAGATCACGTTGTGCTTAAAATGATTCCGTTGAAGAGGGTCTTCAAAGGTGGTGGTCTTGGTTTTGCTTCATTCTGTACAGGCAATTTTTTCAGAGTTCTGAAGGTGGGATTCGGATCAACCCTTGTTCTCCCCGAGCACCACGTTGTCCTTTCCATGACCTAAACACTTTATCACGAAAGTGATCATCCAATTGTTTGTTTGACGGATGACATCCAACAATTTGTCAATCTTGTGGCCCTTGTCATGTACTTCGCCTGGTTCAACATGGACGTCCCAAAAGTTATGGCCCGAGAATCTCATCTCCGAGTGGAAATCTGTCGCCATCATGTTGCACAAAGTTATTGCCATCAGGTCGTGGAAATGGCAAGTTGATCTCAATTGCCCCTTTCACCTAAACCTGGACATCAGGTGAGGTCAGTTGCGGGGCTGAATCGATGATCAGGAACGATCCTCGCGACCTCGCCCACTTTATTGGTTCCTTTTGGAAGAATGGATGAACGCCCCCTGTCCAGCGGGCCTCACCATCAAATTCTCCCCCTGCTCCGTCGGAGGCCCAGAGGGAGTGCCGCGCTGCGGAATTCCATCCGGGTCCAGCTCGAAGCTTTTGACCTCACGTGCTCCCAGCAATGTTGCGATGTACAATTGTGAAGGAATGTGGATGCAAGGTGTCCATAGGTGCCCAGACCCTCCGAATGTCCTCCAAGGAAAGATCACAATTCCGATAAGTTTGCAATCTGCTTTTCACAAAGAAAAGAAGATACCGGAAGTAGGCAGAGCCAAGCCGTCACAGAGCCAACCGGTCCCAGCGGCCAGTCCAAGCGGCCAGTCGCCGTCCGTCATTTGCCAGGCGCACTGGATTCATGGATCCCAGGACCTTCAGCCAGGTGGGCGGCCCGAAGAGTCGATGAGCTGCATGTTTTGCCCCTATTGGACCCGTTGCCTTGCTTGTTTCTAATAGCTTCTTGTTTCTAATAGCAAACATTGTTACTACTAGTAAGGCACTTGTTACTAGTAGCGATGCACTTGTTACTTGGTAGTAATGGCCTCCAACCGTTCATAACATCCGATCGCTCCGTTCGTAGCGATGCCAGGAGCCCCTAGTAGCGCCCTTGTTTCTAGTAGTAAGGCCAGGACCTAGTAGCATCATTGCTCCTACTCAATTAAGGAGGCACCGACTTAATCAAGTAAGGGAGTACACTTCTTAGCTCCTAGGATGCTATACCAGTAACTGGAAGTGGGATAGCTCACACTTGCACTGATGATTTGGTTCCTATAGATGTTTGGGGAAACTGATTGTCTCTGTAGCAACTATGAAGTGTTGAAAGCTTCACGGGTTTTGGGAGTTCATGCTCACACCTGCCCACACCAGTTGCATTCACCCAGGGGTTCCTGTTGCTTGTCCAAGCAGGCCATGCGTGCCTATAGTCCTGCGCTGCCAGATCCTGTGGTCGAGGCATTGGAGCGATGTGCATCCTGGGTTTCCAGGAGGCCATCGCTAGTAGGGTGGAGGCCATTACTACTAGTAGCTAGAAGCTTCTAGGTTGGAGGCCATCGCTTCTAGGTTGGAGGCCATTGCTAGTAGAGTGGAGACCATCGCTTCTATACAGCTTGGAGGCCGTTGCTATAGGAAGAATTCCAAATACATTCTAATGAAAGCTTCTTGTTTCTACGTTCGCTTCTTGTTACTACTAGTAAGGCACTTGTTACTAGAAGCGATGCACTTGTTCCTAGTAGTAAGGCCCATACGTTGGTTTCCAGGAGGGGACCGAAAACGGTCAAGAACTCCTCAAGGTAGCAGAGCCAACCGCCTTGTGTCTCGGTTTCGGGTCTTGGAAGAATCGCGCCAAAAGGAGGCTGCGCCACAGAGGTTTGAAGGGTTGTAAAATAGAAGTTCAAGAAACCCAAACCCAAGAAACCGTGGAAAAACATTAGTAGAACTGTAGAACCATATGGTTGATGCAAAAGATTCTCGAATGTCACCTGCAACGCACTTCAGGTTGAGGCTTATAAAATAGGGATTGTCAATCAAAGGCAGGTACATTATGAGTTTCAGTGGGTTTCTATTGTGGAATGACCCTCACAGATGTGCCTAGATTGTGGTCCCCTTCGCCCAACGAGAGGTCCTGCGAGGGCAAGTCTGCCAAGAGGATGGCTTGGTGCCGGTGGATCGACTTGTAACAAACTGAGATTTTTTCGACGGGTTCAACGATGGGACGAAAACTGTTCATCCTCTCAGCTCCACAGCTCTGAATGAAGCAACGACACAGAGAGAGAGAGAGAGTCGTAATGATGCAAAAAATGGGATGGCGCCCAAAAAGGGTGCGCGAGAGCGCCGTCGTGTGGCGGAGAACGCCGCTGCGCGCCCAGGTCGATAAGATCCTCCAGCCACCGGAGCCTGGACCTTGGAGCCGGACCGTGGAGGGGGTCCCAATCCGGAAGAATGACCAAGTGGACGGTACCACCAAAAAGGATGATCTTCACCAATGCTCGGCATTCGGGAGCGTCCTAGAATTCCACAAGAGGGTGTAAGACATGGAATTCCAAAGACATGTTCAGCTGTGACTGCTCAGTGACGTACACAGCTGTGCTCTAGTCACATGCTGTGACCGTTTCCGCACGCGCCCAGTCGGGGCAGGCTTCCTCGTCGGGGCTCAGTCGCACCTCCAAAGCCGCCAGAGGAGGAGGCAGTTTTGTGAGAAGAGGGGGGAACAGGTGGAAGGGAAGAGGTAGGGGTGGCCTCCACCCTAGTAGCGATGGCCTCCAACCTAGGAAGAGGCAAGAAGAGGCAAGAGTAAGAAGAAGGTGGAGAAGTGAATGGGCTAAGGCCAGGCAACGCTAAGGTGAGAAGGTGGGTGAGAAGAGTGATCAAAATAGATTCCGAGCTCCTCACACCATATGATTGAATGTCGATGATAAACCTTGTGCTCAGGCCTTGCCGTTTGATTGTTTGTGATGTTCGGAGGACTTCTGACTGGGCGCAGGCTTTCACTATGACCTCTCGGGTACGAAGGGGTCTAGAAGGAAAGAAAGGGTCTACATGTCTGTCTGGAAGAGAAGAGAGACCACCTACTTGTCCCTTTCAAGAGAGAGCGACGGCCGCGTGCACCGCCGAAGTCTCGAGGCCGGCGGTGCTCTTTGGAGCGCCTTCCGAAGGCTGGGCCAAGAGCAATTGCATGCACCGCGTGGTCGCAGCATGCCTCTCTTGGTGAAAGAGAAAAGGGGTAACTTTAACAGATCTTTTAAACGAAGAGAAAAGGTCAAAGGAAGAGATTTTGATTGTTTTGCTTCTTCCAGTTGTTCCTTCTCTGTTCTTTTTCCTTGGTCCTTTAGATCTTTCTTCCTTTATGAGGAGGCTGCAAAGCCATCAAGGTTCGCTGGTAGTTCTGGTTGAAGTGAGCAACAATGTATTGGTGGGGAGTCCCGCCATTGACCTCCGATTGGACACCAAGCAGCCTCCTCAGCCCATCCAACCAGCACAGTCGCTGAGTAGCTCCATCAATTTACGGTCAAAAGACGAATCTCTCAGTGCTTTTTGGGGGGGGGGGTAGGAAGCTACTAGTAACAAGTGCCACGCTAGTAGTAACAAGTGCCTTACTAGTAGTAACAAGAAGCTTTAATTGGAATTCTTCCTATTGTCGATTCCTGATAGCAAACATTGTTACTACTAGTAAGGCACTTGTTCCTAGTAGCTTCTTGTTTCCACCGGTGAATCCTTCGGATTTCACACCGGATCCAAAAGCCACGGGTGAGCCGCACCCAGCGCGAAGATCACCGCGGTCACGGTCAGACCGTCTCGTTTTGTGTCAGGATCCGCCCGGCCCTGCACGAGCGAAGCTTGAAATTGGCCACGGTCTTCCAGTGGGTCGCCTAGTCGAGAAATGGCCAAAGCTTTGGATTACATGATTGATATCAAGCTTTGGAATACATCTCTGTTATTAAGCTAGAATTACTTATATGATATTAATTGGTTGTGTAAGCTTTGGAAGCTTTTGGGCAGGTTTTCGGACACTTTCAGGTGGCTTCTGGGAGTGTAAGATCGGGGCATTTGGCCTAATCTTGATGGGCGAAGGCACAGCGTATCCAAGTAGGCCATGAAGGAGAAGATCAAGACAACTAACGGGCATCACCATCACAGTAGTTATACCCTTTGAAGGTCCTTTGTAGGCTGCCAAGATCTCTTGGTAGGTCATCCAAGATCTCTTTGCACGGTTTCTGATCCTTCCCAATGTCAAAGTCGTTTCGTGCAGACTAGAACTCAGAAATAAACAAGATAGAATGCAGACAGTACAGATGTTCCCTTTGTGCATCCTGTAGCCGTTCCTCTATCGAAGCCAACCATCAGTCGGCCGGGCAAGCATGGTTGGAAGGCGTGCTTGGCAAGTCAGGGTGAGTTTGTTTTGAAAGGGTACTTTGCCTCAAAGCCTCAAACTGTTCCAAGGTTGAAGACCCTCACTAGTAGGTTGGAGGCCATCGCTACTAGGGCGGAGGCCATCGCTTCTCTTCCAAGGTTGGTAGTTGGTAGGTGACATTGAGGTCCCGTTGTTCACTCCGCGCTGTCAGGCGTAGCTCCGGATTTCCGGCCTTGGCACTCTGCGTGCTGTGCGCCGTGCTGTGCGGCGCGCGTTTGGCTTTCATCCCAGAGGCCCTGAGCGCGAACAAGTCACCATCCAGGCTTAGAGTGGTTTGGGCAGTCCACAAAGAGTCGCAAAAATATGTCGTCACAGAGTCACATGTGATCATTAGATATGCATCCAGTTTATTTGAAGTTTATCACTTTAGAAGTCACACCAGCCGCAAGTTCAGACCATAGAAACTCCAAACCACTGCTTTGTGCAGAAAAATCATTGCCAAATAGTTTCAACCAAACTGTACGGGGAGGTAAGAAACAACGGGAACCAATAGGCCTGCCTGGTGTTCTTAGCCAATTCCGTGCTCCCACTTTGGTAGTTTGAGATGTTTGCCAGAAGTAATTCCAGTCAGAAACCAAGAGTTCCTGATGAAAGGAAATGGTGGATGGATTGATAATGTCATCATACAGAGAGGTGGGCCTTCATCACACCGCTGAAGTGTGGATCACCACAGGTGAGACCAAGTGCAGCCGCAGCAAGCACAGCTGCAGGCGTAGCGAGCAGTGCTCCACAGTGCTCATAAATGAATCGTTCAGCTTCGCATTCTTCCGGTTCTTGGGACTTGAGTACATAGTCCAACTAGGCTGGAGGCCGCCATTCGGCTGGAGGCCATTGCATCATTTTCGTCACGAAAGATTGGTCCTTTTGGGTCGTTGGACATTTGGGGTTCTTTTGTCGCTGGAGAACTCCAGCCTAGTAGCGTCCTCTTGTTCCTAGTAGTAAGGCCAGGAGTGCCCCTAGTAGTGTTCTTGCTACCTGGTCGCGATGCCAGGAGCCGCTAGTAGCTATTTGCTACTAGTAGCGATGCCCTTTGTTCCTAGTAGCGTCCTTGTTCCTGAGGCAAATCCCAAGGTCGTCCCAATTCATCACCGGTTCCTAGCAGCCCATGGCGGTGAGGCATTGCCACCCTCTCTGCATGGCCGGCCTGGGCCGTTACTGAAGGCTTTGAGGACGTGGGTGGGTCAACTAATGGCCTGAATCTCTCCAAGTTGCAAGTAACTGGGTTTCTTGCTTTGACCATGTACTTTCAAGTTCATCCATGTTCCATGTCGTTTTCTGGCTTGAGGAATTTGCATGTATGAAAGTTCGTCACCATACTCTCCTGTCATTGGAGTTGAAGAGGAGATTTGACAGTGGACAATAGACCGCTGGTCGCACTGCTTGCGCGGTGCACCAGCTTCGCAATCAGTCCGATGACAGTGGACAATGTCAATATGTGTCCTCCAAAGGAATTCCGAAAAGAATACTTAAAAAATAGAAACACGTTAGATATCTTCCGATGTTTGTTGGCTCCAGGGGGTAGGGTCGGACCCAGCACACCCCTATCAGCACAGCTCGCAGCGCCATGGGCGTGGATTGGAACCTGATATGGCAAGGTGTCTCGTTGAAATAAGAACAGATGTGACTTCAGGGCTTTGTAGATGTTCTCATGCATTTGTTCTGGCACGTTCCTAGCTTGCCTTGCCTGAATGCTTCCATCGTTTCATAGAAGATTGGTGACATTGCGGCTGAAGTTGAAGCATGTTCTTTGACTTTCTCCACTCCATAATCGTGACCTCACGTGCGTTTTCCCTCCAATAAACTCTGGAAATGACGAGAAGCCGGTCGTCATTTCTGAGATCAGATCTGATCGTGTGGGCGATCGGGACTCTCGGCCGCGTCGGTGTGTTTGCCGCGTAGGCGATTTCTCAAAGCTCCACCACTTCATCCATGAGTCTTTGGAGGTCAGACTCCGTGTGATGCTTTGACCATGTTTGACCTGTTTAGCCTTTCTGTTGGTCGTTGGCGAGCAGAAAAGTGTCACAAAGAACAAGAAAAGAAAAAGATGCAACATTCGTCAACGCCTCTTGACGAATGTAGGTCTTAGGCTCAACAGCTCCTTCTTACTGCAAAAAAAAATCCTTCCATTGTCACTTGCTATTTTCAAAGATCTTCAGTCTCAGCCTTACCATTGCCTTTACCGAGAGATACCGAGAGCACCACGGAAGCGATTCCGATCCGGTGGCCGTCGCAGGTCCGTTGCATCGCGTCGGCGGGTCGCGGCGTCGTGACGCTGGCGCCGCTCCGCGCCGGCGAGCTGCTCGTGGCGGAAGCAGCGCTGCGGGTGCCGTGGGACGGATGACCGGTGAGAGGACGGAGAGAGGTCGGTTCCGGGGTTGGCCTCGAACAGAAGGCTTCGACCAGGCTTGACAGCAGGGATTCCGAAAAGTGGTGTTTGACCACAAGTCAAACGAGTCTTAACCACAACTTCTCATGCTGTTAGGTTGGAAGCTATTTGGATTCCTTGAAGTCCGAAACGACATGGGAACGCCTAGTCAGGCCGCTCTCAGAGGCGGTCTGGATGGGATGTCGGCCAGTCTGAGGTGGCTCCAGAAGACCGCTTGGCAGAAGAGTTGCAAGAGCAGCCTTTGGACTCTCTCCGATCGAGTATGAAACAAAGATATACAAAGATAACATGAGGGGCTCGGTTTTTTCTGAGGGTTTTATGTGTTTGCTACATGTGCAAACGGCCGATTCTTGCGGTGTCCGGTGAGTGGGGAAAGGAAGTGGTCCTAAGTTTGCGGTGGTTTCATATAAAACAGACAGCTCGCGCACGAATCACCGAGGATGAGATTGATTGGCAACGACTCGACTTGATGTGCAACTTGTCAAATGGGCATTCAACTTACAAGGATTACAGGGTAACTGTTCAAAAAAATGTGTCGTGCTTTCTGTGTTAAAACTTTTTTGTGATGAGATACAGGGCAACGATTGGCTTCATTGATCTTTAAAACGAAAAAGACACCCAGTAAGACCAACAGTATAACTGTCAATACATTCTTTCGGGTGGTGTAGCTGTGTAGCAGCCGTGCACCATCGCACCGTAGGCGATGACAGTGAGCTGGAGGAGTTCTCGAAGCCGGTGCCACTTCATAGCTGGCCAGGTCAGAACCAAACGACCTAACGGGTCAATCTGGAGATAACGAATGGGTTTTGCTTGGTCAAAGCTTTTGTCACCGCAGTGATGTTCAGGACCTAGGGGTGCGTTCTCATTCTGTTTCACTTCTTCGAAGCGTTTTTAACATCGACCAGAGCCACGTCACCCAGCCGGCGCCGTCTACGTCAACGGCTCAGGTGGATTCGGCCGGCCGAGATCAAAGATCTCTTTGGCGAAGATGCGTCGAAAAGTGGACCTCAATGCATATCGATGCTCTCCGCCCGTCAGCGAATATGCTTTCACCGATGATGGCCAGTCCAACGCATCCAAGGCTCGATCTGAGGCCTATGGGGTCTTCCCCTTGGCATCACTCTTCAATCACAGCAACTCATCTTTGCCCAGAAAGCCTTGAGAACATGCTGAAAGCATCTGACAGCATTGTGATACCGTTGGGAACACTTAAAGCCAAAGCTTACGGAAGGATCTTTCTGGGCACGAAGTCATGAGGTCACTGGAGAAAATATGTGAAACCAATGAAACCAAGCCGTTTTGGATCGCTTCGGTGATTGTTTTGTTGTGCTTGTTATTGCTTGTTTTGCCTTGTTGAACCTAGGTTGTGCACCGAATATGTCCAAAGTCTTGCTGGGCAAGTGGGTGTTTCTCCGCGCAGCTCGGGAGATTCCACCAGGGGAGGAGCTCACACAATTCTACTGCGATATCCGAATGCCCGTGGAGATGCGGCAGAAGGAGCTCTCGGATTTGCCTTTTGGCAAAAGCGCGAAAGGCCAATTGACGAACACGCCATGAACTTGTAACATCTCCCGTTCTGGGAAGACCTAATAGCGATGATGGCCTCCGCCCTAGTAGCATGGCCTCCAACCTACTAGCGATGGCCTCCACCCTAATGGCATCCAACCTACTAGCGATGGTCTTCGTTGATCCTGTTTTGCGCATTTTCTCCAAAATGTGTGTTGCTCATTCCCTAGGTTTGGATTTTCTTGCAACTGCCCACGAGACTCGGACGGGAAGCCGTTCGGAGTTTTTACGCTTTTCACGCACAAAGACGGAAGTCCGCACTGGCTCAAGAACGAAAGGAAGATCCAAAACAGCCAGAAGTAGCAAAAGTTCCTTGAACTGTGACTGAACTGTTCTTTTTTGGAGATGTTCAAATGCAGTTTGTCGTCCAGATCTTTTTTGAGGATGTCGCTTTGAACTCCTTTTGGACACTGAGAGTGAAGAATTTCAGCCCTGGAAACGTCTCTACAGCTGTGCCTTGGCTGGTTAGCTGCTTTGCACTGCGCGATGCTCTCAATTCCAGTCTTTTGAACTTCCTGGAAGAATTCCTTCCTATTGTTTCCAAGCATCAAGTCCGCGTCAACAAGAGACCTGATATCTGTCTGAGTTCTTTGGCAACAAGTTCAAGACACTCAATTTCCAACCTAAGAGCGATGGCTTCCAACCTAGTAGCGTCCTTGCTCCTACTAGCGATGGCTAGCGAGCCCGGCCTCTCCCCAGGTGCAGTTCCCTTGCTTCAGCAGCGCTTCTCCTCGGAGTTGGAAGGCCTCATCGCCGACGCGGAGCGCTGTGCGCGCCGTGCGCTGGCCGAACGCTTCATCGCAACTTGGACCGAAAGCAGAAGCAGTGGAAGTGGAGCTCAGAGAAAGAGACCAAATAGGAACAAGAAGCTACTAGAAACCCGGGCATTGCTACTAGGAACAAGGACGCTACTAGGGGCTCCTGGCCTTACTACTAGGAGCAAGAAGCTAAAACCCCGGAGGTCGATAAGGAAGCTGGAAAAGGGTGCAACATGGTGCAACAGCGCATTGCGAGCGCATTGAAAAGTGTTTGTTCTAGGGAGTTCTACCGTGGTTCTGCTTTCAATATGTGGAGGAAGGGTGAATGACGTGGTGCTGACCAAGCGTTTCCTATTGCATTTGAGTGTCAGATGCAACAGCCGAATGTTCAGATGACCCGTCTGATGAGTCAGTTTTTCCTCAGGAAGTCACCGAGACAAATGACAAAGAGCATGAAGAGCTCCTTGACTTGATCAAGTTGATTGCACTCCATGTTTGGTCTTAGACTCAACTACCTTGTAAGGTAAAGGCTCGAAACTACCAAAAGCAATAAACTATTGTTGATGTGTTATATTCGCTTGTTGAATGGTAGTGTAAAGCATTAATTGTTGTCGTTTAACTAATGGCGATTCTCCGTTGAATCAGCGGCCTCAAGAGGCACTGTCCACCTGCTCGGTGGGACCGTCGCCAGGATCCACGAGTCTTGGGCTCTGTGGCCTTTAGTGCCTGCCTTTCAACAGCTCGCTGCACGCTTGCGCGTCTCAGCTCAAAACAAGGGTGAACATATGTTTATTGATCTTTGGATTGTAAACAAACAGAAAAAACGCATGGTGAAATGCAGAAGCTGAATATGTGTCTTATAATAAAGTTGTTTTTAATATGGAATAACTAAATGCATTTGACAGAAATATATGTCTTGTGCTGCCGTGCCAAAGTCAATGTATGTCTTCCAATAGTTAAACATGGCAGGCTTGGATGGTCGCTTTGAGGAGAGCTTGGCACTGTGGAGGCGATCGGAGCGCTTGGTCAAGTCTGTGGTTCCCTTGTCCAACATCCATTTGCGCTGCTCGGTTCTTCTTTCATGAAAACATTTATGTTTTACGGGGGGGGTAGGCCGCTGGAGGTAGCTAGTAGAAGAGATAGCTAGTGGCTAACAAGCAGCTACTACTTAGGACACAGGATAGCTCACGCTTCCTTGAAGAAGCGCTCGCACGATTCATTTGGTTCCTAGATTCTTAGGGAAACTTAACAGATTGGATGCCATCGCTTCTAGTAAAGTTTCTTCATGTTTGCATATTGTGTAGTCTTTTTCTTGAAGGAGAGGCTGGAAGGTAGGGGAAAGTTGCCAGGGGCACATCCAGGCACCTGGTTTTTGCCTCGGATACATTTTCGCGCTGCAATCCCATGGATTGAGGTGTTTGTTTGCTCGGAAAGGCGCTCGTAGAGGGTGTGTGTGTGTGTGTGTTTATTTTTTTGGTTTTGTTTGGGTTCCCTTGAACTTGTTGCGGAAGATTCATTGCTCAACAAGTGCGCGCAGACTCTTCTGAGGCGTTCACTCAGAGATGCTTTTGACCAGCGAAGCAGATGCCGATCTGCGGGAGAACTTGAGCCTTGTGGCCTCAGCCTTTGGTCCCGGCATAGAGGTCTGGCAAAAGCTCGTGGGATTTCGAATGCCACGGCTTTCGAAGAAGGTCATGGATACATCTCCAAAGCCAGACCTTTGTCCCTTGGCAAAATCCATTCATTTTCGGTGACAAAGCTCTTCTTTGAGTTTTTGTTGTCACGAAGAAACCGCACTGGTACCTCCAAGGTCCCATCCATTACGAATGGGAGGAGACAGAGCAGAACTGGCTTTTAGTTGCTTGGTCGGCGGCGTTTCAACACGCTCAAGACATTTTTCTCGATGCTTCCGCAGACGTCCTACTCTTCAACGCACCGAACGCGGTGGAGACGAAGGTGAGCTGCAGCAAAGTTCATGCAGCTTCCATGGAGACAAAGTTCTCCCGGCGACGCCGCTCCTTGACGGTGCGAATTCCGAAGTGAAAGCGCCCAAGCGGCGCAAGTTGCGGCGCAGAGCTGAGATGTGCTGAAGTTAGGACCTTTAGGACGAACCACCGAGATGTGAAGAAGAAAAGGGAGTTCCAGTGGCGCCGACGCTTGGCGCTTCGCAGGTCACCACCTTTGGGGCGTCCATGTTTCTGAGTCCACCAAAGGTACCGGTGGACATTTTGCCATTTTCCCCGGACGATTTCTACAACAAAGCGTGTTTGACGATGTTGGGATCAATCCGCCGGTTGATCCATCGCATCACAGGTGGTGTGGATGTTTTCTTCCGAAAGGGTGATGGAATGACCAAGCCAAGAAGCAAAAGGCAGAGTTAGATGTCACTAGTAGCCTTCTTCTTTATTGTACAACAATCATGTAGCAAAGACATGTGGTAAGAATGCTAGCATTCGTGCTTCTAGTGCAAAAATCTCGCAAGGTCTAGAAAAACATCGATTTCCACACCAGATGTTTGAGTGTATTTGACTAACAAGTGCATGCGACTAGTAACAAGTGCATCGCTTCTAGTAACAAGTGCCTTACTAGTAGTAACAAGAAGCGAACGTAGAAACAAGAAGCTTTAACAAGAAGCCTTAATTGGCTAACACCTCCAGGACTACAACCAGTTGTCGGTGAAGGCCGCCAAGGAGATCCCCGCACCCGGCAGCTCCAACGGGCCCTCTGAGGCCGTCTCCGTCATAGGCGGGGGAGGAAAGGTGGTGTGGAACACAGCAATAGCTTCTTGTTCCTAGTAGCGATGTCAGGAGCCCCTAATTGCGTCCTTGTTACTACTAGTAAGGCACTTGTTACTAGAAGCGATGCACTTGTTCCTAGTAGCGTCCGATCGCTCCTAGTAGCGATGCCCTTGTTCCTAGTAGCGTCCTTGCTCTTAGTAGTAAGGCCAGGAGCCCCTAGTAGCTTCTTGTTACTAGCAATGAAAAGCAAGTGACCTCCAACCTAAAAGCGATTGCCTCCACCCTAGTAGCGATGGCCTCCAACCTACTAGCAAGAGAAGCACCCTGGGGTATTTCCCTAGCGTCTGAAAACGCTCTAAGGCACCTGGAAAAGAGTCATGTTTACTTTGCGCATAGTTAAGTCATAAAAATCACCAGGATTTCTTTGCAAAACTCAACAAGTTTGTTGAGCTTGGCAGGTGGTGCTGGGCTCATCATTGTGCTGGCACTGTTTGTCTTCGGTGTTGGCATCGTGGCATCTTTGGCACAACAATCGACGGTGTACATTCCGATGGTGAAGAACAAGTTTAGGAATAAGGAGCAAGGATGCTACTAGGGGCTCCTGGCCGTACTACTAGGAGCAAGTAGCTAGTAACAAGGGCATCGCTACTAGGAGCAAGGAAGCTACTAGGGGCTCCTGGCATCGCTACTGGGAGCGATCGGACCCTACTAGGGGACCATCTTGGCTCACTTGAAGAAGTGTGGGGGACTCGCTGATGTCTGTAGCCCTTCTGCCCCTTGATCCAGCTTGGCAGCGGGTGCAAGAGGTTTGAAACGAGGGACAGACACCAAGGAGGCGCTCAGGTTTTGAAGCCAACGGTTGGTTTGGACACGAACGATGGTGCAGGTGGAGTTGCCCTGGAGTGGCCCTCATTTCATCAAAAGGGACGTAAACGGATGACATCAAGTGCCAAAGCGCTATGGGATCTTAGAGTGACCCAGCCAAGACACCAAGCGTATATAGAGATGCTGCAGAGCAAGAGTCCAGAGTCCATTGGGAGATGGAACAACGCAAAAACGACATGGAGCACCCTAGAACCTACCCTTTGGGGCAGATCAAAACTCAGGCTCGGACAGAGCAAGTCAGGGAATCGTAGGGTCCCAAAACGTGGTCTCTCCTCTTTTCTCGTGATAGCCAAGTTAGAGCAATTATAGCACCTCTGAAAACCGATCAAACAAGGCAAACAAGGTTTCACACTGGTAGTAATCACCGTTTTGCAGAAAATGCACCAAATGCTACTCTTTCAGTACACAGCGATTTCACTATTCGGCTGACGAAGTTGGGAGTACCCTGAAAGAAAGCTGGGTAGGTAGGTAGGGGTGTGTGTGTGTAGGTGTGTGCTTGCAGTATTATCCAGTTGATGGATCATGTTCAGCTGACCTTGGCACCACTGGTCACCATCCCACCTGGAGCCGAACGCCCCAGAACTCTGCGTCCCGCTGAGTCCGGAAAGAAGGATCCCGACTCGCGCTGAGCCGGGAGATGACCATGAGCCATCGCTGTCGTGGAATAGGGGAGGCCGCGTTGACAAAGACGCGGTCAATGCAGCGAATGCGCAGTGTGCCAAGTGACGAAGAGAAGCAAAGAGAGTAGATGCAAATAGCTTAGTTCAGCGTCCCTGAAAATCTAGGAACCACATGAATAGTGCGAGCGCTTCTTCAAGGAAGCTCTCCCCGCCCTCACGCTGTTGGGAAAGCTTCCTTGAAGAAGTGTGACCTATCCTGCGTCCTAGCGAGAAGCTTCCTATTACTAGTAGCTTGCCTCCTTACTTAAGTAGGCGCCCACTCAATCAAGTAAGGAGGTAGGGCCATGGGCTATGTTTTCTTGTCCGCCTTGGCCTCCCCCTCTGTGGTAGGTCATCCTGAAACAGCACCCGACTGTTGATGGACCAAAAAAGACACATGATTTGCGTGGAAGCCACTCTTTAGAAGCATGTTAGAAGCAACTCTTCCGGTTTTTTGTCCATTGACGGTGTTCCATATGTCTCCTCCATCGACACGATCGTTTCACAGAATCGGTTCAATCTTTGGAGCAGCCAACGGACTCTGAGGAGCTCAACTCTCGAAATGTCAGCTATTAGTAACAAGTGCATCGCTTCTAGTAACAAGTGCCTTACTAGTAGTAACAAGAAGAATTTAATTAGAATTGTAATTACTAGCAAAGGCATCTACTAGGACCTTTTGGTTTGGCGGCTCCACTCGACGCAATTTTAAGATGCGCAGATTGACGTGGCAAAAGGGCACCTGAAGCGCCGGGTGGATCTCAAAGGCCCAAAATATCCTTTTAAAAGATCCAGGAAGAAAAGGATTCTGTTGGAATTTACCGTGAAAGTGAGCATGGTAGGGGTTCCAAATCTTGACACCTGCTGAAATGACGGTTTGCGTCTCCATGAGTTTGTATTATGTATTTAAGCAAAATAACCTACGGTTCCTGATTGGAAGATGTTCCGATCATGCACACCTCACTGGACTTGGGCTTGCACGTCCAAAAGAAAGAAGCCTGAGGTTGGAGGCCATCGCTACTAGGAGCAAGGACGCTACTAGGAACAAAGGGCATCGCTACGAACGGAGCAAGGACGCTACTAGGTTGGAGGCCATCGCAAGGTTGCTCGCCTGTTGCCTGTGTCTCTCCGCTTTCTGAGGCGCTGGCTACCAGCTGGCTCCACCAGACTCTCCAAGCAAACCTTGGGTTTGGGTGTGGACGGGACACTCAGGGTGGGCCGATGGCTAACGAAGTGTGGGTCAACAGAAAGGAATCAAGCTAGTCAAAAGAATTCTATTTTTAGTTGGTGAGGCATGACTTTGGTGAGCTCTCTTTACTTCTCATTCCTAGAAGACATGTAAGACCACTCAGTTACTGACTGTATACCCTTTCCTAATTACCCCAAACAAAGAAAAGAATGCTTTCAAAAGCAGAAAATGAACAAGAAAGGAAAACAAGGCCTAAGGCCTAAAAATAAGAGAGCATACAGACTTTAAGAAAAGAACACTAATTGGATCTAGTTAGTAAATATTCACGTTTCAAGACAGAATTGAATGATGGTGTTCCAGGTTTCAATAGTGAGGAGTGACCTTTAAGACCAAAGGCCTACCACCAGCTCGAGGTTTATTGGGTGTCGTCACTTTTGGTGTCTTGATAAAATTGTGGAATCAAGCTTCTTTCATCTCTACCAACTCGTAACCGGCATGTTGTTGCAACACCACCATTCATGGACTCAAGCGGCGTCGTCGCACCACCCCCTCTGCATTGACTGTACAGGGTCAGGGGGAGGCGCTTTTGAAGTTCGACCCGCTTACCTGGACCCCCGCTCCCCTGGCGCTTTTGTTCGGGTTCTTTTTCTAAGATTCATTGACATCTTGGTCTGTGGTGATTCTTGCTTCCACAATCCTGCATACAGCATGGCTCCCGTTCCTTAGTGAGGTCTTAGTCAAAAGGTCTCTAGGTATCGTTGTTTTGTCGGTGCCCTGCAAGTGAAGGTGTGGAGACATGTGGAGACTGTTCTTCTTGACATCAAAAACTGATCGGTTTCTCGGCTCCCCGGTTTCTCCCCGGAACCGAACTGGGCTGTGCCATGCGGACAGCAATTTTTACTAGTAGCTTCTTGTTCCTACTAGTAGCGATGCACTTGTTACTAGTAGCTTATTGTTACTACTAGTAAGGCACTTGTTACTACTAGCTTATTGTGGCTGGGAAGCAAGTTCGAGGCTGGAGTTCTGGGAAGCGAGCTCTCGGAAGGCCAACTGCAACGCTCTCAGACGACGATGGAGTCGACGGAGTGAACAGCAGAACCGATGCACCACTCTTAGGAGCAAGGACGCTACTAGGGGCTCCTGGCCTTACTACTAGGAACAAGGACGCTTCTAGTGTTTGGCTTACTCCATCCCCACACATGCCATTGGTGACACTGTTTCAGGCAGTAGACTCGGTGGACTCTCAGTAGACCATTCTTTTGGGAATGTGGCTGATGGCCAGGTGCCCACGAAGGGAAGGCTTTGTGGGCTGAGAAATGAGCCAACAGACCACTTCACTACGTTGACCATAAAGACAACGAAAATCACCAACACCAAAAGGAAATCCAATGCGGGGATTGCAGAAAACGGCAGCTGAATCTTGTCTAGCCGATTGAGAAACCATACATTAGAAAATTGAAGAAAAATGCAAAAGAATAAACAAGAAATTGATAAACAATAGAAAAGATCTACAGGTCCAACGAGAACGGAAAACAATAAAGATAGACAGATAGATAGATAATGAAGAAAGAAATAAATAAAGAAAGAAAGAAGATGAAGAAAGGACAAGAAAAAATAATAAGATGATGTTATGTACAAAAAGTGAGAAAGGCACAGGAGGGCTCTTGTTTTGCCCTCAGCGATCATGGTTGCCAGCCTGAGGCAAGCACTCTTCAATGCGATGAGCCAAAACCCGGATCTCGGGGCCGCATTGGAGGCCTCGGAAGATGCGGAGAAGCACGGTCAACAAGAAGCTATTAGAAACAATTGTTTCTAATAGCTTCTTGTTACTACTAGTAAGGCACCCGTTACTAGTAGCGATGCACTTGTTCCTAGTAGCTTCTTGATCCATTTGGAAGAATACAAAAGTCAAGAATGCAAGACATGTTGGAAATTTGAGACAGAGAACGAGCTCCTTTCTTTCATCAACAAACGGGGTGCACATAGACTCGTATGGCTTAGATTTGGTGCCATTGTGACTAGAGCCCGATATTCACATCCGTTCTGGTTCTGGAGGCAACATATAGGACCTCCAGGAGGATATTCTGTGGGAGTCTCCAAGAGTCTCCATCGGTCACCACCAGCGTGTTTGATCTCCGGAGTCCCTAATAGCTCCTAGTAGCGATGCCAGGAGCCCCTAGTAGCTATTTGCTACTAGTAACGATGCCCTTGTTACTAGTAGCGTCCTTGCTCCGAGTAGTAAGGCCAGGAGCCCCTAGTAGCGTTCTTGCTCCTCCGCGAGGACTTCGTGAAGGCCTTCAGCAGCACCGAGGGCGACGGCTTCAAACTGTTTGCCCGAGAGCTGCAGGGGAGCCCGTACACCGCCGGAGCGGCGGAAATTGGAAAGAGGGAGGAGTCGAGGAGGGTTTCTTGGCTTTTTGGTTGCATTCGGCAGAAAAAGTGTGTGTTTTTGCTTTGGATGGTTATTTTTTTGTGGGCTAAGAAGAACTGGTGCAGTTTTTTGACAAAGAATGGGATAGAGTAAGGTTGCCTGATTCTTGAGAGCCATTAGGTGAAGCAGCCAACGTTAGCCACAGACTTGAAAGGAAGCCTTCAACGTTAGCAGGTCCAGCCGATGTTCAGGACTGTTGGACCGAGGTTTGTTTATGATTGAAACCTGAAAAGTCAAGTGCCAACAGGGTCAAAGACCCAAGACCTGTTTGGTGCTCGACCTTGAAAGCTGCTGCGCTGGTTGGGGGTGATGTTTTGCAAGAGGGTTTCTTGGTACTGGGAAGGAAACTTCAAATCAACTGGCTGGAAAGGTTTGGGAGAGAGTTGTCCTCAAGCTCATTGAGCTTTGGTAGAGCGCATCTATCTATTTTGAGATTGTTTAGAAGTAATAGCTTAGGAAGCTATTAGGTTGGAGGCCATCGCTATTCCTTATGCTAGTAGGTTGGAGGCCATTAGATGACCAAGGGCAGAAGTTGCCTATTCATTTGAGAAGCCTGACATCTGAGGTTGGAACGTGCAGGCCGTTCACTCATTCGTCGATGCAAGGTCCGCTGAGATGTTGCAGCCTTCCGTTGGCATCCTTTACATGCTGACTGTTCAAAGATGTACCCGATTCTCGAAGAGCAACCAACCAACCAACGAACCAACCAACCAACCAGCCAACTAACTCATTCGGCGTGCATAGATAAGTGCCTTCAAAGCAACGCAAGCAGATGCCGCTTCATCACTTTCCCAGCTCAGATACAAACAATACCAGATTGATTCCAGCCCTTTGGCTCAACTTTTGACTTCAGAAGATAACAGATGACTCTTTATCGGCTTACTTCGAAAAGGAAGATCCCACCCAAAACTCCAGTAAATCCCACCGAACCAGATCCCAACCAAGTTGTCCCACCTAAACTCAGCGCCAGTGGCCCAAACGTGTCCAACTGCCCAACCGCCCCGATGGAGCCAGCCGAGACTCAGCGTCCCGAGCGTCCCGCCTCGCCGACGTCACCGACCTCGCCGATCTCGCCCACGTCCAACAAGACCAAGGACGGGGCGGCTTCTTTTCGGTTGAAGAATTGCTGTTCTTCTTGGCCCAGAAGGTAGTAGGGTAGGCCGTAGAGGTAGCTAGTGGTGGCAGAATGGTCAAAACGTCCTAAAGGGTCAACAAGATCGCTTTCTTTACAGGGAAGAAAGGGCACGGGCTCATGAGGTCAGATGGACAGGCTTCAGTTTTTTGGGTTGCAATCCGTTCGACCTGTTCTCTCCGGAAACCGGGACATCAGAAAAGAACTATGACAAGAAAATGTCGTTGATTAAGACGGCGTCTATGTCCCTAAGTCGTGAAAATCGGTGATTCGGACTGAGACAAAGTCACCAGTAGGCTTGCAAGTCGCCCTTTTCAATGAGTGCAGAATCTTGTCCAATCAGCCTCATTCTCATGCCCTACGAAGGTTGCTGCCACGGTTGGAGAGCTGGAGTCATCCTTTCCTGTAGCTTCTTGTTCCTAGTAGTAAGGCCAGGAGCCCCTAGTAGCGTTGCTCCTAGTGGCGATGCCAGGAGCCCCTAGTAGCTTCTAGGTACTAGTAAGATAATAAGTGAATTATTGAACAAAGTTGGGCTTAGTCAACAGAGAATACTTTTCCGAAGGAGAGAGCTTGGTTTTCGATCGTACCGTGACAAAGATCTATATTGTTCAGGAGATTTTTCAGCGATGGGACGTCCATGGCACCGGTGTCATTACTCGAAGGAGGCTACAGGAGCTTCTCACAGACGCTTGGCGATGTGTCGAACCAATTTCTGACGCTTTCAATGTCTAGAATTGGAGAAATCTGCAAAAGCTGCTGTTTTGTTTCTTTTGATATTTTGAAGAAAGATAGGGATGCTTATGGAAGATCTCCTTGAAGCACAAGACCCCAAAAATGTCCGGAGTCCATGAGGCTGTGGCAGGGAAGAGCGTTACAGAGGAAGAAATCGAACGATGCATCGCAGAGGTGAGGACCAAACGTCAAAATGAAAGTTCAAGAAGAATTGGTGCGTAGAAAAGAAAAAAGAATGGTCCAATGGTCTAAAGCAATAAAGAAAAATGATGAAGGGTTGGGTGTGGAAAGAAGATGGAAGAAGGATGAAGAAGGGTTCGAGTGGATTGGAGAAGTTGTTTGGAAGCAGCATCCTTGTGAGCATGGTTCTCGTTGGCAGCAGCAACGGTAGTTAAGGCCAGCTTCTTCAAGGCCTTTGCGCAACACTGTCCATTCTGTGCTACACTGTTACACCTCTTTCTCTCATGCCTCCACCCCGCTTGGTAGGAATCCACGAAGAACGGATTGGACTTCAAAATGGCTTCGTTGAGCCATCGGCCCTTCGTTTCGTGTGCAACAGTGGTTTCTCCCCATAGGTGTAGGATGTGACAAAAGGGTCTGGCAGGTGTAGGAAGGAAGTACTAGAAGGCCTTGCCTAACTCCCCTATGCACAAGGGTAGCCCCAACTCCCCACGTTCCTTTGCACAATGCTGTTCACTCTTCACACAAAAATCAGCAGGCAGACAAGAACGGGAATGGAATCATTGAATACAACGAGTTCATCGAATGGCTGCAGCAGCCCTGTGGTACAGTGCGATTGGGAAGTCACGGTTTAGAGTACTTCGACCTGGAGGCTTGTGTCCGCCCTTTGTATGACGCTCAGCGAAGGGATGTGAAGTCATTTGCTTTTCCAATTGAAGCCGACCCGAGATGAAACAGGAATGAGATTGCCGAAAAGTAAGAGGATCTACACGCTCTTTAAAGCATGGTCACCATAGTGGTCACCATAGTGCCTCCTTGAAACAGGAACACATCTTCCCAGCTCTTTTGCAGACTTCTGACTTGCGTTTCCCGGATTTTCGGCACCCAAATGGGTGCCTTGTTACTAGTAGCTTCTTCTAGGTACTAGTAGTAATGCCAGGAGCTACTAGTAGCTTCCTTGCTCCTAGCAGCGATGCCCTTTGCTCCTAGTAGCTTCTTGTTCCTAGTAGTAAGGCCAGGAGCCCCTAGTAGCTTCTAGGTAGTAATGCCCTTGTTACTCATAGCGATGCACCTTTGGGTGTCTTTGGGCGCTTTGTGCCACTAAGCCAAGGACGTCTACGACCAAGATGGAGATGGCCTGGTTTCGATGGAAGAGTTCATCGGATGCCAATCGATCTTGCAGAACTCTCTTGGGCTCAAAAGCAAGGCCAGGCAATGGATAAGCTTTTCGTTTCTTTCTAGTTCTCAGTCGCATCATTGTAGCATGCTTTCTTTTGGCAGTTCATTCGAACACTCTCCATACGCAATCCACAGAGCTGTTCCTGCAAGAAGAACCTGAAACTGCTTACATGCAGGATGTCTGACTGGAAGGTCAAAAGACAAGTCTAAAGGTCCTACTTGAAGTGCCAGGGATGGATTTGAGGCTCTGCATCGCTTTGCGTCACTCAGTGTTGCGAGGTTTCACTGGAGGAACAGTTTAAGAAGGAGTTCGGGAGGCCAGGGACCACAAGCGTGCCGCTTCTCGAGAGCGAGCCAAAGAAGCTTCACAGCAGTTAGCGTCGTTCACGGTGCAAGCTGGAAAATTGGACAAACAGTTTTCCGAACTTTTGGCTTGACTCCAAAGGTAGACGACGGGTTTCTCGCATTTTCAGGGTCCAACGGTTGCAAGAAAGGCAAAACAAATGCACTGTTTCAGCTTATAGTAGCGATGGCCTCCCACCTAGAAGCGATGGCCTCCACCCCAACAGCGATGGCCTCCACCCTAATGGTGACGGCCTCCAACCTAGTAGCAATAAACACGTTTTCAGCTTATTGACCAAATGAAGACTGGCCAGGAAGACCTTCCTGATGGTCGATTCGGACAAGAGCCGGAGCATCAGTTTCAAGGAGTTCCTGGAGTGGCAACGGATCCTTCTACATTTGCTCTTAGCACGCCTTTCACAAGAAAGAACAAATGTTTGTGTAAGGTAGAAATGCCTATTTGCAAGCTGGTATTGCCAAGGCTTGTTTATACTGGCATATACTAGCTATAGAAGGCTTTCCTGTAGCTCTTAACACCCTTTCCTGGTTTTGGTTCACACGTTGTTCACTGCTTTGTTTTGCTAGCTCAAAGTCTTGGTTTGCTAAATCTCGTTCATCGTCTTCACAAACACCAAGTTTGAAGAGAAGACTGAAGGGGCTGGACCGGGGTTGGAAGAGTTGCTTTGTGCTAAGGAAGCAGCTGATCGCTGCTCGAACCCCGAGCAAAGAGCTGGAAGAGTTGCTGCCAGCACTGGCCAGACAGCTGAAGCGCGTCTTCAAGTTTGAAGAAGAGGAGGAGAAACCGATGAGACGATATGAGAACATGAAACCGCAGGTTCTTTTTCGGCGGGAACAGAGTTGCCACGCTTCTTTTGCTACTAGGAACAAGTGCATCGCTACTAGGAACAACTGCCTTACTACTAGTAACAAGGACGCTACTAGGGGCTCCTGGCATCGCTACTAGGAACAAGTGTCGCGAGGTTTCATTCCTTTCGCTTCACCTGCACAAAATCCAGGAGATGAATGCATGCGATGGCCGAGTGTTGCAGCGGATTGTCGACAATTTGGTGCCTTTGGCTCACATGGGTCAAGACGGGGTGCCCACCGGGTGATTGAATTGGATAGGGTCACAAAAACGATGGAAGGGGGAGGACACTGTAGCTAGCAAAGGATTCGAAGACAAACTGTGAGCCAGATTCATCAATTTACTTGGTGTGTTTGTTTGGCCTTGCGTTGCCTTTGTACCTTACACTGAGCCAATGCTCTTCTTGTTTTAATGCTCATTTTTTGCTCCAGGCCAAGTTCTGCATCGAGATTTGGTCAGAAAAAGAGGGAGCCAAGCAGAAGGCGAAGCCCATGCTGGCCTTGACCGGAAAGGCACCAATGCGACGAGCGTGAAGTCGTGAGAAGGCTACTAGAAACAAAGGGCATCGCTACGAACGGAGCAAGAAGCTCCTTGCTGTTTTGCGCTACTAGGACCTTTTGACCTGTCTTCTTTCCTTCGTTCTTTTCGTTTAGATTTGGTGTCCGATCGGTTTTCGGCGTTGTTTGAATCCTGAAGCGTTTACTCCAGCCAATTGCCAAAAAGGACTGCGTTCAGAAAAGAAAGCCACCATGACTTGTGCCTATTGCGTAACAGCTGTTTAACAGCTACTCTGGGCTACTACTCTCTTCCACAGTGCATTTGGGCAGCTGGAGGCGCGGCATTACACGAATCGCTGGTCGGAGCCGCCCGTGGGGCTTAACACCAAGAAGCTCAAGGCCGGGGCGGGATCCATCGGGAGAAGCACTCGATGTTCAGATGAACATAGATGAATCTCAAAAAGCTTTCCGGGCATTGAAGTGAAAAGATTCTGGTTTGACAGGAAGAGGCACTCTTTTAGGTCTGAGTGTTTTTGCCGACCTCATGCTTCGTAGCCACTGGAATTGCCCATTCCAAGAACGCTCCAAGAGCGGTGTAACGCTCCCAGACTCCTTGGTACCTTCATGCGAGGCCAAGTACCTGGCCACTGAGTCGTGTATGACCAGCGGCCGACTCTCCGAGAACATGGACCTGGATCTGATGGTGATACCAGAAGTGCTAGACGGTGCGGCGGGGGAAGGTTGTCTTCTTTTTTGTTTCAGAAAGCCAAGGCGGAACGAGGTTCGCAGTAGGTTGTTGAGCATTTTTGAGTTTCTAATTTCTGTTTTTGGCTCGAAGGCAATAGCTTAACCATTGGACTTGGAGAGCCGAGAGCCAAACTCAGCCAGGTGACGATGAGAATCCGCGCAACCGTGTTTGGCTCGACGCTCTGCAGCGATGGTGGCCAACTAGGGCAAAGAATCTGTGGGAAAGAATTTTCTGGATAGTAACTAGCCAGAGAGCATTTTGCGTCACTTCACCAACCAAGAAACAATCTCCTTATACCTTAATCACTGATGTTCGAAAGGAAGGCCAAGTTACATCTCAAGTATTTTAACTGGTGGTGTTTGGGTGAGTGTTTCTCGAAGGACAAAAAGGGATTATCTACATCATGAGCAGTGGAATGGGATATATACGACAAATTGGAATTCTACTAGGGCCTCCTGGCATCGCTACTACGAGCGATCGGACGCTACTAGGGGCTTCTGGCCATACGTACTACTAGGAGCAAATAGCTACTAGTAACGAGATATGGGATTATCTACTCCCAAAAACCACGATGACACCACAAATCGGAAACTTTATTTTGGGCGGTGAGAAGAACACTTCCTTTTCACCACGCATTTGCGCTGTTGCACAGCACAAGCATGGAGCGCGATTGATGTTAAGTTTCCCTAAAATTCTAGGAACCAAATCATTAGTGCGAGCGCTTCTTAAGGAGCTATCCTCCGTCCTAGCTAGGCCCCTACTTAATTAAGTAGGAGCGGGCTTACAAAAAAGCAATAACACATAAACCCTGGGTCAAAACTAGCATTTCTCGGGCAGTACCTCAGCTGCTCAGCTGAGGGCCAAATCATCCAGAAGGCGCGGTGCTGTCGTATCCGTCGCATCCTCCATCCATTGTACTGTTGCATTTCGGGGCTGCGATACTCGGTCAAAGTTTCTTAAGGCCTTCAGGTTTGGCAGCATACAGATGTGTCGAGACAACAGGCAGATGGTTACCTGAGTTGCCTTTCGTCGGCAAACAAATCCAACAGTTCAATACACTACCGAGTGGCTTTCGGCTTGCCTCGTCCGCCAATGATTCACTAGCAGTTCCCCACAACACTTGGGCTTTTTGGGGGAGTGAAGGTAGGCTGGAGTAAGAGGCGGTAAGAGTAGGGAATAGCTACTAGGTTGGAGGCCATCGCTTCTAGGTGGAAGGCAATGGCTACCAGCTGGGAGGCCATCGCTTCTAGGTGGGAGGCCACCAATATTAGGGTGGAGTGGAGGTCATTTCTATTTTTCGGTGGAGGCCATCGCCATTAGGGTGGAGGGTGGAGGCCATCGCTATTAGGGTGGAGGCCATTGCTATTAGGAGGAGGTTAGAGCAGGGAGTAGCTTCTTGCTGACAAGCTACTACCGATCGGGCGCAGAAGGGCGCAGGCTTCTTCAAAGAAGTTCCCCTGCCTGAGGGTGAGAGGGAGCTGCCCTAAATAAGAAGCCTGAGCCTTAATTTGGTTCCCAGGCTTTTTGAACATAGACTTTTCAAATCGGGGCAGTCAACCCACACACAGTTGACTGCACCAGAAGCCCAGGTGGGTGCGCATGTTTCAACATCCATGGCAACCGTAGTTGAAGGGACTATGATTCATAGTGGTCGGTCAAGGAAACGAATCATTGAGAGAGTGAGAAAAAGAAGAAGAAGAGGAGGAAGACTTTAAGGAACCTACAAGCGATGGCCTCCAACCTCCAACCTACTAAGCAGCAGTTGTTGCACTGGAGGTGACCATGCGCGACGGTAAAGTCCGATCGGATGAGCCAGCCACAGACCTAGCAAAGCTATGCTCTTGTTGGGGATTTTGGCCCTTAAAAACATAGAGGTCACTGGAATTACTCTTTCGGCGTAATTTGAAACATTACACACGTCGCAAGCGCAATGCAATCTCATGATACATGGAAAGAATTGCAGGTACCCCGTTACGTGATGTCAACTTGAAGGCTGTTTCTTTTTGGTTTTGAGTTTCACACGTGCACTTTTAGGTGTACTATGAATTCATTTCCTTGTCCTGGAGCAAGACAGCGGACGTGCGCCACTTACTGTTCGCCTCAGCTTAAAGAAATGGGGGTGCTCATTGGATCAGTACATCCGAAAGCCCACGTCGAAAAACAACTGACTCTTTTTCCCAGATGAAACACACAGTTCCAAGCCATCATTGTTTTCACGGAAAAGGAGTTGATTGAATCATTTACACTTTCCGTCAATGCATGTTACATTGGCATCAAAAAAGCCACTAACGAATGACTTCAAACCGTTTAGCAAGACCACCTATTGACAGTAACCCATCGTAAGTTGCTTTCGAGGCGGTCTTCAAGTTCCATCGGTCCTACGACGCAATGCCACCAGAGCTCCGGTTTTTCTCCTTGCTCAAGGCCCCGGAGAAACGCGAAAGGCCAAAGGGAAATAGCGGCATCCCAGCTCAAGAGAGCGGAGCGGCTGATTGGTTGGGAGTTTCGTGGAGTTTAAGGACCCACGGTGGGGCATACCGAAGTTGATAATGATTGGTTGCAAGAAGGGGACTGGGAAATTTGCTTGCTGTGTCATAGTGAGTGTCCTGGCAGTGCCTCAGGCCGAAGCTGACTTCGGAAACAAGCTGACCTGGTCACAGATCCAGCGGGTCTTTGCTAGGCCGGTCACACCGCCGTGATGTGGAACGTGAGTACAGTAGAGTAATTCATCAGTACCGTGCTAGACTGCCATGCTCTCCTTAGGTTTGGGACTTGCGAAACAAGAAAATACGTGCGTTTGTGTTGTTTTTGTTTTATGTATACTTGTGTTTTCTTTTTATGTTGTTCTTTTCTTTTCTTCACTTTCTTCTTGTCTTTCTTTCTTTGGACCTGTCTTGTCGGTTCATTTCCAAAAAGTTGGGTCTTGGACTTGCCAACAAGAACTAGAGTCCAATCCCCATTCTTGCTGGAAAAGCTGCACGTGTTGGGGTGATTATGACAAGTGGTTTTGGGTTTAGGTTCATGGGTGCTTGACGGGTGTTTCAGCTGTTCTTTGGGGAATGGGTGGGCTACGCTAGCCTCAAGCGACAATGCCATTATTTGGGATCCGTCAGAAACCAGCTTTGCATTCTCAGCAACTGCAGCCCGCAACTGCTGTGAGGTGCAAAAGCCACGGGATCCTCACCGCTGCGCAGCATGCAGCGCCTTAGCTGCCTCCAGCTGCTCCATCCAATCTGGAAGAAGTCAAAAACAACAGTTCCTGGTGCTACCCAGGCTCCACGCAATTTCAAACGGATGAGATGTAGAACATCAAAGTATCCTTCTGTTTTGTATCGTTTCTGCCATACACAGAAATGGAGTATGTGCATCCACTGGGCTTCCAGGAACAGCTCCATCCTGTGTTTTTTTCCTTTTGTATTTGGCTTGCTTGTTTTGCACCTGTTCGCTCTTCGTTGAGCAAAGATGAAATCCTGTCGCCGCAAAGGAGTACAACAATGCGATGGAGCTCCGGGTGCACAAGGCCTTGAAGGAAGAGGAGAGCTTCCTGGGGCACGACGTCTTCTTGTGCATCGGGATGGGGGGACCAAGCACTGACTCAGATTGAGGCTCTTGTGAGTTTGGACACTTGAGCCGACATGGTATTGCAACATGTCTTTGATTGGATATGGTATTCATGTTGCAAATGCCCAGCTTGGTAGGAATTGCTTGCTGTCAATGACTGAACCAGTGTTGATGTCTGCAACAATCAAGTCGATCTTTTGTGGATTCGTTTCGCAGGACCTGTTGACAGGCTTATCTACCGAAGAGATTAAACAGAAGGTCCAAGAGAACTTGCCGGCGATAACACAAAGGCGCCCAATGATGCACGCGTGTGATTGAATCAGCCTGTGAATCCGCATGTGTTTGCTTTGTGAACTTCCCACCCGCTAGGACCCGATTTATTCTCATGTTGGTTCTTTCACATTAGAAATGAAATTAAAAGAGTCAACTAATAGCTTCTTGTTACTACTAGTAAGGCCCTTGCTCCTAGTAGCGATGCACTTGTTCCTAATAGCTACTTGCTCCTAGTGGTATGGCCAGGAGCCCCTAGTAGCATCCTTGCTACCTAGTTGTCGAAACTTTGCCTGGAAGGCCACAAGATACCATGGCCTCTCGGCGATTCCTTTGACGTTTGTTCGTTCTGAGTTCACACCGTTTGTGGTCAAACGAAAGAGACCAGAACCTAGAAGCGGCCTCCAACCCAAAAGCGATGGCCTCCAACCGTCGGAAAGATGTTGAACATTGCTTCTGGTCAGCTTCTGAATGACGGGCGAAATCGAGCTTAGGCACTCCTGAGCGATCTGGATGTGTTTCAAGTGAGCTCAGTGTGGGCAGATTTTATGACACAGTAGCCACCGTTGATTGAAAAATGAGGGCCATCCAAGAGACGCTGCAATTGAAGAGGTCTTTTTCGTGAGGAGGTATTGGTTTAATCATTTCAATCCGATGACTGCTGCAACTGGGTGACTGCTGCAACTGTTGTTGGCTTAGTATTCCTTTGAGCTGAGCTGGCACCTTGTTGAAAGCAAGAGAGCGCTGTTCTGCCGCAGCCGCGGCTGGCAACAGGACAGATCCTGTTGCCCCCGGCCGCCACAAACTCAAAAGCCACACCTAAAGTCGGTGCGGAGACACCAAACGGTGACACATAGCTGGGTTTGGGCCAGTCTGTGGTGCAATGTTGATGAGATTCTTCAGTTTGGAGATGTTACTACTAGCTTCTTGTTACTACTAGTAACGTTCTTGAAATTTCGAATCTTGCCACTGTTGACTGAACCTCCACTCAATCATCTCCATGATGCCATCCGAGAACCCTGCCCAATCCTAGTGACTAGAGCCAATTCTTGAGAGCTGCTCAAGAAAAAGGAAAAAGAAGGCGGTGTGTGTTTTGGGGAGGCCAGCGCTCATTTTGCGGACAGCAACATGGCTAAAGGCGTGTTTTCTTAAAGCTGCTGCATACCCAAGCGAAATTGTTGTAGGGGTGCAATGACAATGTGACAACGAGAACGTTTCCTTTGCTTGAGTGTTTGGCACTTATGACCACTCACACCCTGCGTCGGTTCAACCAGCTCTTGAGGGCACCAGCGACCCAAGCACAGCTTTTCAATATTCGCGGATCGCATATGCATTTTTTTTTCCTGGTCTTTTAGGGCCATACAGTCTCAACCACAGATTTCATATGTGCGCGTAAGCCAAAATACACAAGAATACCAGGCTTTGGGGCATCCAGTTGTCTTTGTTTGTTGAAAACATGTCCATCGCATGTCGGCGGATCGACCCATCTTCGGAGGGCTCCATCTCCGGTGCCTTTGCCACGCTGGACATCACGGGCGAGGGGGAAGTCGGTTCCAGCACTCAGTGCGTTTGCATCCGCTCTAAATCCGGAAATCTGGGTGACAGTAAAGAGGTCAAGAAGCGCTTTGAGTTTCAGCAGATGTGGATCAGTCAAGGTAGCGAGAGCTGCACATATATATATATATATATATGCTTGTTGTTTTGTGAGTAGGTCGAGCTTGGACACTGAGGGATTGCTGGCTTTCGTGCTGCTTTGCTTCAGTACGGTGTTGGTAGCTCAGCCCATGTGCCAAGCGACCATTGTGAAACTGCTGTTGACCAGTGTTTCAGAGAGAGCAAAGCAGCGTCAAGTACAGCATTCATGTGTCATGTATACCAGCAACTTCCATGAAACATCCAGCCGCAGACGAGGATATCAACTTGACGGAAGAGCAAGTGAACGCAACTTGGGAGCTGCTGACTCAGCATGAGCGCCAACCAAGCTTCTAAAACACCGAAATCGCTACCCTTGGCCACAGACTAAGAATGTTGTTTTAACAGTCCTAGCAACTGATTCTAAACGCTTAGATCTTTTAGCAAGACGTGTTACACGGCTGAGGCTTGCACGAAGTCTTGGAGACTGCAAGGGAGAGCTCAGCTCAGAACCGAAAAGCTCAGAGAAACGCAAAACGAAGCTGAATTTCAATGGCATACTGCGCGAATCCAGCTCCGGTTTCCCACACATCCGTTTCTTCAAACATAGAAATTTGGATTCCACATACCTGCGAACAATTGAGACAAAAAAGTTTGAGAGTTGTCCCTCACTGAGAAACCATGCAGCAGCCAACCTGAGAGCAGGGGGATCCATCACCTGCTGCTAAGGATGCCATGGATTTCACCTCCTTCAAGACTGTTTTTGCAGCATCCCGTGAGCCTTCCTTGCCTGAGCCTCCCGAAGCCCCGATTGACCAACCACCTGACCCAGCTGAGCCCAGTGGCAACAGAGGGTCACAGAGGGACGAAATTCAGCAGAGCAGGTCGTGGTGGAGGTGCGCGTTTTCCACGCGACGGTCCAAAAAAGAGCATACAAACAACGTGACGAAACTACTTTTTTGCATCAGAACGAAGAATGACTCTGGTGAAGTTACATTTGTGTGCCACAAAACATTTCTGGCACAAAATCCGGGTGTTGTCTCAGTTCGCGTAAACTCTAGTAATTGCTAGATTTAGCTTGGGGGGTTCTCTAGAATGCCCTGCTTTTTGATGTTTTTAAAGGCTGATGAAGAACGAGCAAATCATTGGCGATGTTAGTTTTTGCTGCGCGAGTGAGAATGCATCATTGACATCGTGCGAAACAAGAAAACCATTGATCATGTTAGTTCTGCTGCCCGAATGGAAGTGCAATATTGAAAGTAAGTGTGCGCGTGTTTGCTCACGGTTCACTTCTTCTGACCCTTTGAGACCTGCATCGTTCTTTCCCGGCTTAAGGAGCACAAGTGCTTTCCGCACGGCCAGTCTTCGCCGCGAAGCGGTGGTGAAGCTGGCTCTGAGCCATTACACCTCTATTCTTTATACTGTATACTACAGATTTTGATTTTCTATATCTAATTTATAATTCCGATTGTAGGTAGGCAACAAACTTGAAAAGCATTAGGTTCGAAGTCGGCCTTTAAGTTTACAATACCTTCCGTGCCAACTGACTAACGTTCGCATATGTGCATTTGTATTGACTTTGCTGATGAGGTTGGCGGAGTTGAGTCAATTGGGGATCCTTAAGAGCTATAATTTGCGTAAGCCCATGCCTGCATGAAAATTGCAAGGATGTCCTCGACGATTAAATTTGCCATGAATTAGGATATTCTGAATGATGTGTTGATTTTCGGGAAAATATATGTTTTTATTCGGGCCGTTTTACTGAAACACAAAATATTAACGAAATTCTTTTGACGTAAATATACAATTCTTGGCGTACATTCTGAAAATGAATGTGCACCCAACTCAAAACAAACGTGCAAAAGGCTACGAACGCCTTTTCCGTCATGGCTTGAGCCAAGGGCGTCGTATCGTGCCCTTGCGAACCGGAACCTGTAGGTTGGAGTGAGAGGCCAACAGCATGCTAACTGGAATGACCTGGATCATCATGATTCATTTCACACCCGTAAGTTTTCTTGGCCTTTAATCTAACCGTTTAGTTTAGGTCCACAACTTCCGCCGATATGAGCTGTCGCAAACCGGCATGTTTCATGCCTTTGGTGAGAGGATCTACTAGCGTTTTGTCAGTGCTGGTCCAAGTTAGGCGAGTATTGCCATTGGCAGGCAGGCGATCAATCGCCAAAGGATCTTCCACTGCCTCTCTAGGAACCCGCCACAGCATCTGGCGAAGACCACATAGGTCGATAACTAGGTATTTGTCCGACACAATGTGGAGGCCAGCTTGCTTGCCGTGGTCGTGAAGTGACCGACAGTCCGTCAGCCATTCCACCAAAGTTCCATCTATGGCCTGAACTTGCCAATGTGGTTTTCCATAACGAGGATGGCGTACTCCATGTAGTACGAACCTGAGGTGCTCCTGCATACACGCTTCAAGATCGTGTTGTGCCACTCGATCAAGGCCAAGTAATCGATTTTGTTCTCGAAGAAGTTCTTGTTAACCAAACATAGCAGACGTCTACTCTGGCTTCGATGAGCCATGCGGGCACCAGAAGAGTTGGCCTCATAGTCAGCGGCATGCCTTACATCCTGAATTGCAAGGATCATGGCATTCTCAAACTTGAAGGCGCCGACAGGGTAAACCAGTCTAATTTCTTTTGTTTTCTGGGCCAAGGCCACAATCGAATTGGTGTATTTGAAGTCCTCATAGGTGGCTGAACTGACACTTATTTGCATTTTGCACACTGCATATGCCAAGTTAGGGCGGCATACACGAGATAGCCCAGCAAGACTTCCGATGATGCTGCGAAGCTGCCTACGTACTCCTTTAGTTACTGGTTGTTTTTCTTGGCGCTTCTGCTCATGGGTCAGCCAGATCGGACGAACGCGGTCGATAAAATTGTCACATTTGACATAGATTTTGTCAGTATCTCGGGTGATGTTCCTGCCACAATAGCGGGACGAATCACATTTAATCTTGCCAAACTTGTAGTGGTCGCAGATCTCCTTCATACGCTCCTCAATCAACTGACCACCACTCCACAAAAGGTCATCCACGTGGGTGATGACAAGACCAGCCAAAACGCCCTCTTCCTCTAAGAGCGTGTAAGCTCCAGGCTCAAAAGGAATAGGGTGAAAGCCTTT